TCTGGTCTGATCCTGGGTGGTTCTCTATATCTGAGAACCTTTCCCGACACTCATCCAGTCTGATCTTTTTCAATATCTGGTCTGATCCTGGGAGGTTCTCTTTATTCGGGAACCTTTCCCAATGTTCATCCGTTGAGATCCATTACAATATCTGGTCTGATCCTGGGTGGTTCTCTATATCTGAGAACCTTTCCCGACACTCATCCAATCTGATCTTTTTCAATATCTGGTCTGATCCTGGGAGGTTCTCTTTATTCGGGAACCTTTCCCAATGTTCATCCATTGAGATCCATTACAATATCTGGTCTGATCCTGGGTGGTTCTCTATATCTGAGAACCTTTCCCGACACTCATCCAATCTGATCTTTTTCAATATCTGGTCTGATCCTGGGAGGTTCTCTATATCCGGGAACCTTTCCCAATGTTCATCCGTTGAGATCCATTACAATATCTGGTCTGATCTTGGTGTATACACCCAGGAACCCTCCCCAAACCTCATCCAATCAGATGTATTACAGTATCTGGACTGATTTATGAAACGTATGGCTGTCAGACATTGTTCATGTTTGCATTTATTCCTCTACTTTGGTGTGTGTACATCTTCCACGTTGGGGCTTTTCAGTGTCTCAATAAAGACTTTGATGGTGTCATTTACCAGGCTGCAGCACAGCAGTTCTATAGATGGTGCATGGTAAAACATTGCTGAAGGGTGGTTCTATGGAGGGTGTTGGGTACCAGTCTCCAGTTCTGCAATTCTATGGATGGTGTTGTTGGGTACCAGTCTCCACGGGGCAGTTCTATGAATGTCAGATACCAGGCTGCAGTGGAAAGGTTCAATAGCTGATGTTGGGTATAGTAAAGTGGTTCTATGGATGGTGTGGGTACTGGGCTGCAGCAAGTCACTTCTGTGGATGGTTTTTAGTACCAGGCTACAATGTGGTGGTTCTATGGATGATCCGGCACCAGGCTGAAGTGAGGCCAGTTCTATGGATGGTATCAGGCTGCAGTGGAGAGGTTCTGTAGCTGGTGTTGGGTACCAACCTACAGTAGGGCAGTTATATGGATGTTGTCGTGTACCAGACTGCAATGGAGCTGGTTCTATGGTGTCCAATAACAGGATGCATTGGGACAGTTCTGTGGATGGTGTCAGGTACCAGACTGCATTCGGACGGCTCTATAGACGGTGTCAGATACCAGGCAATGGGGCAGTACTATGCACAGTGTTGGGTTTTATAGCTGGTGTTGGGTATTAAGCTGCATTAGGGTAGTTCTATAGAGGGCGCCGGGTACCAGGCTGCATTGGGTGGTTCCATGGATGTGTTTGGGTATCAGGCTGCATTGGGCGGTTCCATGGATGTGTTTGGGTATCAGGCTGCATTGGGTGGTTCCATGGATGTGTTTGGGTATCAGGCTGCATTGGGCGGTTCCATGGATCTGTTTGGGTACCAGGCTGCATTGGGCGGTTCCATGGATGTGTTTGGGTACCAGGCTGCATTGGGCGGTTCCATGGATGTGTTTGGGTACCAGGCTGCATTGGGCGGTTCCATGGATCTGTTTGGGGTACCAGGCTGCATTGGGCGGTTCCATGGATGTGTTTGGGTATCAGGCTGCATTGGGCGGTTCCATGGATGTGTTTGGGTATCAGGCTGCATTGGGCGGCTGTTCTATGGACGGTGTCGTGTACCAGACTGTATTGGGGCGGTTCTATGGATGAAGTCGTGTACCAGGCCACATTGGGCAGTTTTATAGCTGGTATCAGGTACCAGGCCTCATTGGCGCGGTTCTATGGATATGTTGTGTTCCAGGCTGCATTGGGGCAGATCTATGGATGGTGCTCTTAGATTGTAAGCTCCAAGGAGCAGGGCCCTCCTAACCCTCTTGTATTGTCTCTCTTTATTTTGTAAAGCGCTGAGCAAACTGTTGGCACTATATAAATCCTGTATAATAATAATGTACCAGGCTGCATTGGGGTGGTTCTATGGATATGTTGTGTTCCAGGCTGTGTTGGGGCAGATCTATGGATGGTACCATATACCATGCTGCATTGGGGTGGTTCTATGAATGTGTTGGGGTACCAGGCTGCATTGGGGCAGTTCTATGGACTCTGTCGTGTACCAGACTGCATTGGGGCAGTTTTACAGATGGTATCAGGTACCAGGCCGCATTGGGGCAGTTCTATGGACGTTATCATGTACTAGGCTGCATTGGGGTAATTGTATGGATGTGTTGCGTACCAGGCCGTATTGGGGCGGTTCTATGGCTGGTATCTGGTACTAGGCTGCATTGGAGTGATTCTATGGATGGGTCAGGTACCAGGCCGCACCGGGGCGGTTCCGTGGCCGATAGCGGGCACCAGGCCGCACCGGGGGGTTCCGTGGCCGATAGCGGGCACCAGGCCGCACCGGGGCGGTTCCGTGGCCGATAGCGGGCACCAGGCCGCACCGGGGCGGTTCCGTGGCCGATAGCGGGCACCAGGCCGCACCGGGGAGGTTCCGTGGCAGATAGCGGGCACCAGGCCGCACCGGGGAGGTTCCGTGGCAGATATCGGGCACCAGGCCGCACCGGGGCGATTCCGTGGCCGATATCGGGCACCAGGCCGCACCGGGGCGGTTCCGTGGCAGATAGCGGGCACCAGGCCGCATCGAGGCGATTCTATGGCCGATAGCGGGCACCAGGCCGCACCGGGGCGATTCTATGGCCGATAGCGGTACCAGGCCGCACCGTGGCGGGTTCTATGGCAGATAGCGGGCACCAGGCCGCACCGGGGCGGTTCCATGGCAGATATCGGGTACCAGGCCGGTTCTATGGCCGATATCGGGCATCAGGCCGCACCGGGGCGGTTCTGTGGCTGATATCAGATACCAGGCCGCACCGGGGCGATTCTGTGGCAGATATCGGGTACCAGGCTGCACTGGGGCGATTCTGTGGCCGATATCGGGTACCAGGCCGCACCGGGGCAGTTCCGTGGCAGATATCGGGCACCAGGCCGCACCGGGGCGGTTCTGTGGCAGATATCTGGTACCAGGCCGCACCGGGGGGGTCCTATGGCAGATATCTGGTACCAGGCCCCACCGGGGCGGTTCTATGGCCGATAGCGGGTACCAGGCCGCACCGGTGCAGTTCATGGCAAATATCGGGTACCAGGCCGCACCGGGGCGGTTCTATGGCCGATATCGGGGTACCAGGCCGCACCGGGGCGGTTCTATGGCCGATATCGGGTACCAGGCCGCACCGGGGCGGTTCTATGGCCGATATCGGTACCAGGCCGCACCGGGGCGGTTCTATGGCCGATATCGGGTACCAGGCCGCACCGGAGCGGTTCTATGGCCGATAGCGGGTACCAGGCCGCCACCGGGAGGGAAGGTTCTATGGCGGGACCATAGGGGGCGGTTCTATGGCAGATATCTGGGTACCAGGCCGCACCGGGGCGGTTCTATGGCAGATATCTGGTACCAGGGCCGCACCGGGGCGGGGCGGTTCTATGGCAGATATCGGGTACCAGGCCGCACCGGGGCGGTTCTATGGCAGATATCGGGTACCAGGCCGCACCGGGGCGGTTCTATGGCAGATATCTGGTACCAGGCCGCACCGGGGCGGTTCTATGGCAGATATCTGGTACCAGGCCGCACCGGGGCGGTTCTATGGCAGATATCTGGTACCAGGCCGCACCGGGGCGGTTCTATGGCAGATATCTGGTACCAGGCCGCACCGGGGCGGTTTCTATGGCAGATATCTGGTACCAGGCCGCACCGGGGCGGTTCTATGGCAGATATCTGGTACCAGGCCGCACCGGGGCGGTTCTATGGCCGATATCTGGGTACCAGGCCGCACCGGGGCGGTTCTATGGCCGATATCGGGTTCCAAGACGCGAGGAAAGACAGACACCAAAACTGCCCTACTACTAGCAGAATCTAGTCTTTTATTGTAGCAAACAGCAGAATCCCCATTTCTTCACATGTCTATCCTCACCCCAAGTCTTTACAAAATGGCAAACATTAAAATAAAGACACAAGTTGGCTTTAAAATAAAAATTAAGAAAAATGGAAACACAAAGCTACTGTAATGTCTGTACAACATGCGTCTGGGTATTCACTGCCAGTGATACTTACAGGGCGGGGGGGGGGGCAGCGGGCCGGGGTTCAGGGGTACGCTAGCGAGCTCAGGCACCACAAACTACAAAAAGGAGGGAGTGCAGTGCGGCCGGACCCCCTCCTTAGCTCGGAGTAGTTACAAGGAAGACAGGGACAGAGATGGGGGCACGTGTCCCCAGCCCGCTGCCATGAAGCCCTGGAGGGAGGGGCCATCAGTACGGGGCTCATTCTACAAACCTCTGCAACTGTCAAGCACCACAACTACGAAGGAGGGAGCGGAATGCCGCAGGACCCCCCAACTTAGCTCTGACTAGTTACAAGGAAGACAGGGACAGAGTTAGAGACGCTCGGCCCTGGCCCGCTGCCATGACGCCCATGAAGCACCGGAAAGGGGAGGGGGGATGGGGGAGGGGCTATCAGGACGGGGCTTATCCTATGTACTGCTGCGAAGGGGAGGGATCAATAAGTACAGCTAGGAGGATTACAAAACTTCATCTGGACAAAGGGCCCCTATTGGATTCCTTCTCGGGCTCCAGGGAACGCTTTCATCAAAAACATCAATTTCAGCACAAACCGTAACTGAAACCGCAAGAAAAAAGACGTCCGCACCAGATTCTACCGGGAGAATTTATACAACTGAGAACTATGGAGGGGAGGGGGCTGAAATGGACCGGTTGCTGGTTTTGGAGGGGGGGGGGGGAGGGGGGTGCACAGCGGCTACAGCTAGACCAAAATAAAACAGACGGTGAATGCTGCACCTCCACAGAAAACAAACTGGAAGGGAAATGCTAAAAAAAAAAAAAAAAAAAAAATGAACACACAACTTTTGGAAAAGTTTCTTTTCCTGTAAATGAAGATGGACCGTTTTCTTCCGCTTGTTTTCTTGAGGCGTCATCTCCATCCTCCGCATCACTTCCTGGACCGCAGGGATTTCCGCGAGCTGGGCTTGCCTTTCGGCGCGGGCTTTGCTGCTTTCTTGGAGGCGGCCGGCTTCTTGGGGGCCTGGCTGGCGGCCTTCTTGGAGGCGGCCGGAGGTGGAGCTGCTTTTCCCTTCTTGGCTTTCGCCGGGGGAGGAGGCGGTGCTGCTGGTGGAGCTTTCTCTGGGGGCGCTCTTGGCTTTCCCCCGAGGGGCGGTGCGCTCTTTTTGGGCTTGGGTGGGGGGGGCTCGGGCCCGGGCCCTGGCGCGGGACTTGGCGGGGGCCGCCTTCTTCTGCATCCTGTGAGGAGGAGAGGGATTAGTACACGTGGACCCTACACATGACATATATATATATCCCCCGGACTCCCAGAAGTGAGCCCCCCCTCCCCCGGACTGTACTGTATATATATATATCTCCCAGAAGTTTCCCCCGGACTGTATACAATGTATATATATATCTCCCAGAGCCCCCCCCTCCCCTGGACTGTATACAATGTATATATATATCTCCCAGAAGTGAGTCCCCCCCTCCCCCGGATACAATATATACAAAGTGTATATATATAATATATATATATATTAGAAGTATATATACAATGTATATATATATATATATATCCCAGAAGTGAGCCCCCCCCTCCCCCGGACTGTATACAATGTATATATATATCTCCCAGAAGTGAGCCCCCCCTCCCCCGGACTGTATACAATGTATATATATATATATATATATATATCTCCCAGAAGTGAGTCCCCCCCCCCCCCCTGGACTGTATACAATGTATGTATGTATATATATATATATATATATATATATATATATATATACAGTGAGGAACAGAAGTATTTGAACCCCTGTGATTCTGCAAGTTCTCCCACTTCATCATGGAGGGTCTGACATTCACATGGAGGGTCCCACTCTGACATTCACAGATGCAGGGGATTCCCACTCTGAGGACAGAATTCAGGAGATCACATTGCAGGGGATTCCCACTCTGAGGACAGAATTCAGGAGATCACATTGCAGGGGATTCCCACTCTGAGGACAGAATTCAGGAGATCACATTGCAGGGGATTCCCACTCTGAGGACAGAATTCAGGAGATCACATTGTATGATTTGTAAAGAATGTATTTGTCTCGCACGGCTGAACAGAAGTATTTGAACCCCTGAGAAGCAGCAAGAATTCTGGCTCCCAAAGACCTGTTACTGCGCCTTACAAAGTCCCCCTCTACTCCACTCATTCATCTCACTTAGTAGCACCTGTCTGAGCTCTATAGACACCTGTCCACCCCACAGTCAGTCAGACGCCAACTACTACCATGGGCAAGACCAAAGAGCTGTCAAAAGACACCAGAGACAAAATGGTGGACCTCCACAAGGCTGGAAAGGGCTACGGGGCAATTGCCAAGCAGCTTGGTGAAAATAGATCAACTGTTGGAGCAACGGTTGGCAGAACCGTAGGCATGACTGTGAGGGGAGATTTCTTCCCACTGACCCCCCCAATGCAGGAGGCATGTTCCCAATGACCCCCCAATAGCTGGGCTCCCTGAAAACTACTGAAAGGGTTTCCTTGGGGTACAAACGTAGAGAAGCGCGGCTCTAGAAGCAGCCAGAACATAAAGAGACCCTTTCACCAAGGAACCCAAATGCAGGGAACAGTTAAGGACCTTCATGTATACTTTCCATGTTTTTTCCTATCAATTATTTTATCTTCAGCCCGGGTTCACATACATGCGGTGCGGTATATTGCGTGTGATTCGGGAACCGCACCGCATTCCTGTGCCAATCACATGCGATTTGTGTGCGGTGGGATTGGAGGCGTACATTTGGCTGTAATCGCACCAAAATGCGCAGGACCCTTTTCTGGGTCCGCACTAGATTTGGATCGCATGGGTACTGACATCCATGGGATCCGATTCTGTACATCGCAGTGCGTTCTGCGGACCACTTTCGGGGTGTGGTTAACATACATACCCGCAGCGGTTCGCGTGAACGAGGTGCGATTCTGATGCGGTGCGGAATTCGCACTGAAAACGCTGCAAACTCTGCACTGCATCAGTGGGAACCCGGGCTCACAGGCGATGGACCTTTTTAACTTCCTAGAAAAATTTTACATCAATTCCCAGCACAGCCCCCCTCTTCAGGGAGTGTCCAATTACTGTCTGTGCTGACCCAGCTCCACCACCCCTAACTACATAAACTTTAACATTTCTGCAACAGAAGGAGTGAAAGGGAATATTATAGAGTATCGCTTTAATGACCGCTCAGTCTGATGACATCACATCCAAGATGGCGGCACCCAGCAGCAGCCTCAGGGACGTCTACACCAGGGGGGACCTTACAGGAAAATGCTCATATGATCCTATTAGAAATGTGTTGTTCAAACAAATGGTCATGTGACTCATGAATGGCTATTTGATGTTGGTGCACCCCCTGCCTAACCCCCCCCCATGGTGGTAAATACTTACCTCCTCTTTGGAGGGGGTTCCTCGTCCTCAGATTCTTCCTCCTCAGACTCCTCCTCCTCTTCTTCTTCTGATTCATCGTCCGACTCATCGTCATCCTCCTCTTTAACGGCTTTGTCTGGGAATAACACATACGGGCTGCCAGGGAGGAGACAGAAACATTAGTCTGTGCACTGCCATACCGGAACACAACAAGAAACCAGCTCCATAGAGTGACTGCCCCTCCCCTGCACCTCATGGCTCCACCCCCGCTCAGCACAGACCCCTTCTTCCTGTTCAGTGGCTCCACCCCCGCTCAGCACAGACCCTTCTTCCTGTTCAGTACGGCTCCACCCCCGCTCAGCACAGACCCCTTCTTCCTGTTCAGCACAGCTCCACCCCCGCTCAGCACAGACCCCTTCTTCCTGTTCAGCACGGCTCCACCCCCGCTCAGCACAGACCCCTTCTTCCTGTTCAGCACGGCTCCACCCCCGCTCAGCACAGACCATTTCTTCCTGTTCAGCACGGCTCCACCCCCGCTAAGCACAGACCCTTTCTTCCTGTTTAGCACGGCTCCACCCCCGCGCAGCACAGACCATTTCTTCCTGTTCAGCACGGCTCCACCCCCGCTCAGCACAGACCCTTTCTTCCTGTTCAGCACGGCTCCACCCCCGCTCAGCACAGACCCCTTCTTCCTGTTCAGCACAGCTCCACCCCCGCTCAGCACAGACCATTTCTTCCTGTTCAGCACGGCTCCACCCCCGCTCAGCACAGACCCTTTCTTCCTGTTCAGCACGGCTCCACCCCCGCTCAGCACAGACCCTTTCTTCCTGTTCAGCACGGCTCCACCCCCACTCAGCACAGACCCCTTCTTCCTGTTCAGCACAGCTCCACCCCCGCTCAGCAGCCCAGACCCCTTGTTCCTGTTCAGCACGGCTCCACCCCCCGCTCAGCACAGACCCCTCTTCCTGTTCAGCACGGCTCCACCCCCGCTCAGCACAGACCCCTTCTTCCTGTTCAGCATGGCTCCACCCCCACTCAGCACAGACCCCTTCTTCCTGTTCAGCACAGCTCCCACCCCCGCTCAGCCCAGACCCTTTGTTCCTGTTCAGCACGGCTCCACCCCCGCTCAGCACAGACCCCTTCTTCCTGTTCAGCACGGGCCCACCCCCGCTCAGCACAGACCCCCTTCTTCCTGTTCAGCACGGGCCCACCCCCCGCTCAGCACAGACCCCTTCTTCCTGTTCACCTCCACCCCCGCTCAGCAGTTCCCACGCCACCCCCTTGCTCTGCATGGCTCCTCACCCTGTCAAGCACGGTTCCCTTCCCTTTTTCAGTCGGCCGCAGCACCTACCTTGGGTAATATGGGAAGCTGAGCTGATAGGTACCGCTGAACCCTTTCCCGGAGATCTGCTCCATCCAGCCGTTCTTCTCACACTTCTGCAGGGTTCTCTTCAGCAGTGGACTGGAGGGGGAGAGGCAGGAGAAGTCAGGTGATGAACGGGAGGAGAGGCGGGAGACGTCAGGTGATGAACGGGAGGAGAGGTGGGAGACGTCAGGTGATGAACGGGGTGAGAAAGGCAGGAGAAGGTCAGGTGATGAACGGGAGGAGAGAGGCGGGAGAGAGAAGTCAGGTGATGAACGGGAGGAGAGAGGCGGGAGGAGAGGTCAGGTGATGAACAGGAGGAGAAGTCAGGGAGGATGAACGGGAGGAGAGAGGCGGGAGGAGAAGTCAGGTGATGAACGGGAGGAGAGAGGCGGGAGGAGAAGTCAGGTGATGAACGGGAGGAGAGAGGCGGGAGGAGAAGTCAGGTGATGAAACGGGAGGAGAGAGGCGGGAGGAGGAGTCAGGTGATGAACGGGAGGAGAGGCGGGAGGAGAAGTCAGGTGATGAACGGGAGAAGAGAGGCGGGAGGAGAAGTCAGGTGATGAACGGGAGGAGAGAGGCGGGAGGAGAAGTCAGGTGATGAACGGGAGGAGAGAGGCGGGAGGAGGAGTCAGGTGATGAACGGGAGGAGAGAGGCGGGAGGAGAAGTCAGGTGATGAACGGGAGGAGAGAGGCGGGAGGAGAAGTCAGGTGATGAACGGGAGGAGAGAGGCGGGAGGAGAAGTCAGGTGATGAACGGGAGGAGAGAGGCGGGAGGAGGAGTCAGGTGATGAACGGGAGGAGAGAGCGGGAGGAGAGGTCAGGTGATGAACGGGAGGAGAGAGGCGGGAGGAGAGTCAGGTGATGAACGGAGGAGAGAGGCGGGAGGAGAAGTCAGGTGATGAACGGGAGGAGAGAGGCGGAGGAGGAGTCAGGTGATGAACGGGAGGAGACAGGCGGGAGGAGGAGTCAGGTGATGAACGGGAGGAGAGGCGGGAGGAGAAGTCAGGTGATGAACGGGAGGAGAGGCGGGAGGAGAGTCAGGTGATGAACGGGAGGAGAGGCGGAGGAGGAGTCAGGTGATGAACGGGAGGAGAGAGGCGGGAGGAGGAGTCAGGTGATGAACGGGAGGGAGAGGCGGGAGGAGGAGTCAGGTGATGAACGGGAGGAGAGAGGCAGGAGGAGGAGTCAGGTGATGAACGGGAGGAGAGAGGCAGGAGGAGGAGTCAGGTGATGAACGGGAGGAACCTGGGAGAGAGGCGGAGGAGGAGTCAGGTGATGAACGGGAGGAGAGAGCAGGAGGAGAGGTCAGGTGATGAACGGGAGGAGAGAGGCGGGAGGAGAGTCAGGTGATGAACGGGAGGAGAGAGGCGGGAGGAGAGGTCAGGTGATGAACGGGAGGAGGAGGAGGAGTCAGGTGATGAACGGGCAGAGAGAGGCGGGGAGAAGTCAGGTGATGGGGACGGGAGGAGAGAGGCGGGAGGAGAAGTCAGGTGATGAACGGGAGGAGAGGTCAGGTGATGAACGGGAGAAGAGAGGCGGGAGGAGAAGTCAGGTGATGAACGGGAGGAGAGAGGCGGGAGGAGGAGGAGTCAGGTGATGAACGGGAGAAGAGAGAGGCGGGAGGAGAATTCAGGTGATGAACGGGAGGAGAGAGGCGGGAGGAGGAGTCAGGTGATGAACGGGAGAAGAGAGGCGGGAGGAGAAGTCAGGTGATGAACGGGAGGAGAGAGGCGGGAGGAGGAGTCAGGTGATGAACGGGAGGAGAGAGGCGGGAGGAGAGGTCAGGTGATGAACGGGAGGAGAGAGGCGGGAGGAGGAGTCAGGTGATGAACGGGAGGAGAGAAGAAGGGAGGAGAGGTCAGGTGATGAACGGGAGGAGAGGCGGGAGGAGGAGTCAGGTGATGAACGGAAGGAGAGAGGCGGGGAGAGAGTCAGGTGATGAACGGGAGGAGAGAGGCAGGAGGAGGAGTCAGGTGATGAACGGGAGGAGAGAGGCGGAGGAGGAGTCAGGTGATGAACGGGAGGAGAGAGGCGGGAGGAGAAGTCAGGTGATGAACGGGAGGAGAGGCAGGAGGAGGAGTCAGGTGATGAACGGGAGGAGAGGCGGGAGGAGAAGTCAGGTGATGAACGGGAGGAGAGAGGCGGGAGGAGGAGTCAGGTGATGAACGGGAGGAGAGAGGCAGGAGGAGGAGTCAGGTGATGAACGGGAGGAGAGGCGGGGGAGAGGAGTCAGGTGATGAACGGGAGGAGGAGAGGCAGGAGGAGGTCAGGTGATGAACGGGAGGAGAGAGGCGGGAGGAGGGGTCAGGTGATGAACGGGAGGAGGAGAGCAGGAGGAGAGGTCAGGTGATGAACGGGAGGAGGAGTCAGGTGATGAACGGGCAGAGAGGAGAGGCGGGAGAAGTCAGGTGATGGGCGGGAGGAGAGAGGCGGGAGGAGAAGTCAGGTGATGAACGGGAGGAGAGGTCAGGTGATGAACGGGAGGAGAGAGGGCGGGAGGAGAAGTCAGGTGATGAACGGGAGGAGAGAGGCGGGAGGAGGAGTCAGGTGATGAACGGGAGGAGGAGAGAGGAGGTGGGAGGAGAATTCAGGTGATGAACGGGAGGAGAGAGGCGGGAGGAGGAGTCAGGTGATGAACGGAGAAGAGAGGCGGGAGGAGAAGTCAGGTGATGAACGGGAGGAGAGAGGCGGGAGGAGGAGTCAGGTGATGAACGGGAGGAGAGAGGCGGGAGGAGAAGTCAGGTGATGAACGGGAGGAGAGAGGCGGGAGGAGAAGTCAGGTGATGAACGGGAGGAGAGAGGCAGGAGGAGGAGTCAGGTGATGAACGGGAGGAGGAGGAGTCAGGTGATGAACGGGAGGAGAGGTCAGGTGATGAACGGGAGAAGTCAGGTGATGAACGGGAGGAGAGGCGGGAGGAGGAGTCAGGTGATGAACGGGAAGAGAGGAGGGGCAGGAGGAGGAGTCAGGTGATGAACGGGAGGAGAGAGGCAGGAGGAGGAGTCAGGTGATGAACGGGAGGAGAGGTCAGGTGATGAACGGGAGGAGGTCAGGTGATGAACGGGAGGAGAGAGGCGGAGGAGGAGTCAGGTGATGAACGGGAGGAGAGAGGCAGGAGGAGAGGTCAGGTGATGAACGGGAGGAGAGAGGCGGGAGGAGGAGTCAGGTGATGAACGGGAGAGAGGGCGGGAGAAGTCAGGTGATGATGGGCGGGAGGGAGGAGAGGCGGGAGGAGAAGTCAGGTGATGAACGGGAGGAGAGGTCAGGTGATGAACGGGAGAAGAGAGGCGGGAGGAGAAGTCAGGTGATGAACGGGAGGAGAGAGGCGGGAGGAGGAGTCAGGTGATGAACGGGAGGAGAGAGGCAGGAGGAGGAGTCAGGTGATGAACGGGAGGAGAGAGGCAGGAGGAGGAGTCAGGTGATGAAATGGTAGGAGAGAGGCAGGAGGAGGAGTCAGGTGATGAACGGGAGGAGAGAGGCAGGAGGAGGAGTCAGGTGATGAACGGGAGGAGAGAGGCAGGAGGAGAGGTCAGGTGATGAACGGGAGGAGAGAGGCGGGAGGAGAATTCAGGTGATGAACGGGAGGAGAGAGGCGGGAGGAGGAGTCAGGTGATGAACGGGAGGAGAGAGGCGGGAGGAGAAGTCAGGTGATGAACGGGAGAAGAGAGGCGGCGGGAGGAGAAGTCAGGTGATGAACGGGAGGAGAGAGGCGGGAGGAGGAGTCAGGTGATGAACGGGAGAGAGAGGCGGCGGGAGGAGAAGTCAGGTGATGAACGGGAGGAGAGAGGCAGGAGGAGGAGTCAGGTGATGAACGGGAGGAGAGGTCAGGTGATGAACGGGAGGAGAAGTCAGGTGATGAACGGGAGGAGAGAGGCGGGGGAGGAGGAGTCAGGTGATGAACGGGAAGAGAGAGGCAGGAGGAGGAGTCAGGTGATGAACGGGAGGAGAGAGGCGGGAGGAGGAGTCAGGTGATGAACGGGAGGAGAGGTCAGGTGATGAACGGGAGGAGAGGTCAGGTGATGAACGGGAGGAGAGGTCAGGTGATGAACGGGAGGAGGGAGGTCAGGTGATGAACGGGAGGAGAGAGGCGGGAGGAGGAGTCAGGTGATGAACGGGAGGAGAGAGAGGCGGGAGGAGAAGTCAGGTGATGAACGGGAGGAGGAGTCAGGTGATGAACCCATTTCCCTCACTCACCCTGGAAGCTGGAGTTCACTCCGGGGTGGTTCTCCAGAACGTACTTCTTGATGGCGGTGGTGGAGCAAGTCTTGGGCTCATTCATAGCGGTGATGGCGGAGAGGGATGGCGTCCTCGAACACCCCGCCACTTAGGAGGGGCTTATCTCCGGCCCGCTTCAGCTGTGCCAACAGAGATCAGGCAGAGTTCAGACTTGTGATGGCTGAGGTCAAGTGACATACATAACCCCCCCCCAATCTACAGCACACCACCCCCCCCCAATCTACAGCACCCCCCCCAATCTACAGCACACCACCCCCCCCCAATCTACAGCACCCCCCCAATCTACAGCAGGGGATTAGAAGTATCAATGAACCAGACAGACGTTCTGAACTTATATCACATAGATGACCCTGTTCCCCCTCCCCCCCCCCTTACCTGGAATGTTCCGGATGCCCCTTTTCCTGTGATCTGCTCTAGCTGCCCCTTTTCCACGGCTCTCTGCAAAGCGTTTTTCAGCAGCTGAGGCCTGAGAGACAAAAGAGACGTCACGACTCATCCTGCAGACAGAACCACACGGAATGCACAAACCCCCCCCCCCCCCCCACAATGTCCATCAGTAGGGAGTTGTCCCTGACCCAGGGCCATTAATACAGAGCTCCACCCTCTACCAGCAGCCTCCAAACTGCGGCCCTTGGCTTCCCTTTATCCGGCCCCTGAAGTTTTATTCACTGATAGCAACAACAGGGCACTATTCCTCTCACTGACACCCCCCATATGATGGGGGCACTATTCATCTCTCATATGTACATCCCCCATATGTATGGGGCAATTATTCCTCTCACTGACACCAATAGATGGGGCATCCCCCATATAGTCCTCTCACTGACACCAATGTAATTCGCTATTTCATCCCCCATATGACACCAATGATAGGGCGCTATTCCTCCCACTGACACCAATGATGGGGCGCTATTCATCCCACTGATACCATGATGGGGCGTATTCCATCCCCACTGACACCAATAGTATGGGGCGCTATTCCTCCCACTGACATCCAATGATAGGGCACTATTCCTCCCACTGACACCAATGATGGGGACACTATATAGTATTTCATCCCACTGACACCAATGTATTTCACTATAGTCCTCCCACATGACACCAATGATGGGGCACCCTATTCCTCCCACTGACACCAATGATGGGGCACTATTCCTCCCACTGTACACCAATGATGGGGGGCACTATTCATCCCCTCACTGACACCAATGATCACTATTCCCCCTCACTACACCAACGATGGGGCACTATTCCCATCACTGACACCAACGATGGGGCACTATTCCCCCCCACTGACACCAACGATGGGGCACTATTCCCATCATCACTGACACCAACGATGGGGCACTATTCCTCCCACTGACACCCCAACGATGGGGCACTATTCCCATCACTGACACCAACGATGGGGGCACTATTCCCCCCACTGACACCAACGATGGGGCACTATTCCCCTCACTGACATCCAATGATGGGGCACTATTCCCCCCCATACTAGACACCCTCAACGATGGGGCACTATTCCTCCCACTGACACCAACGATGGGGCACTATTCCTCCCACTGACACCAACGACAGGGCACTATTCCCCTCACTGACACCAACGACGGGGCGCTATTCCTCCCACTGACACCAACGACGGGGCGCTATTCCTCCCACTGACACCCCCCAACGATGGGGCGCTATTCCCCTCACTGACACCAATGATTGGGCACTATTCCTCCCACTGACACCAACTGATGGGGCACTATTCCTCCCACTGACACCAATGATGGGGCACACATTCCTCCCACTGACACCAATGATGGGGCACTATTCCTCCCACTGACACCAATGATGGGGCACTATTCCTCCCACTGACACCAATGATGGGGCACTATTCCTCCCACACACCAATGATGGGGCATTATTCCTCCCACTGACACCAATGATGGGACGACTATTCCTCCCACTGACATTAGATTCAATGATTGGTCACTATTCCTCCGAAGCCACATGATACCAGATGATGGGGCATATTTTCCCACGGCACACCAAATATCTCACGGCACACTATTGCCTCGGCACAGTGGTTGACAAAACGCTGACATGGGGACCCTATTCCCCCTCCCCCCCCCACCAATGTTCCGGATGGGGCACTATTTCTGTGATACCAATGATGGGGCGCTATTCCACCCTCTGCAAAGCGTTTTTCACCAGCTGAGGCCTGATGGGGACGTCACTATTCACAACCCACCCCCCCACAAATCCACCCACTGAACCAATGATGGGGCGCTATTCCTCCCACTGACACCAATGATGGGGCGCTATTCCTCCACTGACACCAATGATGGGGCACTATTCCTCCCACTGACACCAATTGATGGGACACTATTCCTCCCTGACTGACACCAATGATGGGGCACTATTCCTCCCACTGACACCAATGATGGGGCACTATTCCTCCCACTGACACCAATGATGGGGGCACTATTCCTCCCACTGACACCAATGATGGGGCACTATTCCCCCCACTGACACCAATGATGGGGCACTATTCCCCCCACTGACACCAATGGATGGGGCACTATTCCCCCCACTGACACCAACGATGGGGCACTATTCCCCCCACTGACACCAATGATGGGGCACTATTCCCCCCACTGACACCAATGATGGGGCACTATTCCTCCCACTGACACCAATGATGGGGCACTATTCCCCCACTGACACCAACGATGGGGCACTATTCCCCCCACTGACACCAACGATGGGGCACTATTCCCCCCACTGACACCAATGATGGGGCACTATTCCCCCCACTGACACCAACGATGGGGCACTATTCCTCCCACTGACACCAACGATGGGGCACTATTCCTCCCACTGACACCAACGACAGGGCACTATTCCCCCACTGACACCAACGACGGGGCGCTATTCCTCCCACTGACACCAACGATGGGGCGCTATTCCTCCCACTGACACCAACGATGGGGGCGCTATTCCCCTCACTGACACCAATGATGGGGCACTATTCCTCCCACTGACACCAATGATGGGGCACTATTCCCCCACTGACACCAATGATGGGGCACTATTCCTCCCACTGACACCAATGATGGGGCACTATTCCTCCCACTGACACCAATGATGGGGCACTATTCCTCCCACTGACACCAATGATGGGGCACTATTCCTCCCACTGACACCAACGATGGGGCACTATTCCCCCACTGACACCAATGATGGGGCACTATTCCCCCACTGACACCAATGATGGGGCACTATTCCTCCCACTGATACCAATGATGGGGCACTATTCCTCCCACTGACACCAATGATGGGGCACTATTCCTCCCACTGACACCAACGATGGGGCACTATTCCTCCCCACTGACACCAACCGTGGGGCACTATTTCTCCTACTACCAAGGATGGGGCACTGAGCACAGTCATGGGGGGGGGAACAGGAAAGGGTCTCCACCAAACGGTTACCCGGACCCTTCACTGGGGACACCCGACCTCCATCATTGGGGGGGGGGGGGGGGGGGTACTATACATCGGTTTTTAGGTGCTGCAAGATCTGACACACAATTCTCTCTTCCATTCACAATAAATGTTTAATTTTAGGGGTGCCGGAACCAATCAGCTTCAATCTTGTGCTGTTCCGACTTCAGTGACTTGTGATTGGTCGCTGTGGATCCCGCCCTCTGCTCCGTGTCCTGGAAATGAGGGTGTATAGGTAAGCACCCCATCGTATGTCTAGCATTGGGGCCCGGAACCGTCATCAGAGGAGACCGGCTGTCCGGGGGGCGTGCCTCCTGCAGACGACTTCCCCACCATTCCTCTCTATGGCTGAGCCCGGTGGAAATGACCTCCTGACAGTGGCCCGGGAGCGAGGATGCATGACAGGACAGCGGCCCGGGAGCGAGGATGCATGACAGGACAGCGGCCCGGGAGCGAGGATGCATGACAGGACACAGCGGCCCGGGAGCGAGGATGCATGGGCAGGACACAGCAGGACACCGGGGGAGCGAGGATGCATGGCAGGACAGCAGCGGCCCGGGAGCGAGGATGCATGGCAGGACACAGCGGCCCGGTAGCGAGGATGCATGACAGGACACAGCGGCCCGGGAGCGAGGATGCATGACAGGACACAGCGGCCCGGGAGCGAGGATGCCCGTGGGAGCGGCAGGACACAGCAGCCCGGGAGCGAGGATGCATGGCAGGACAGAGTGGCCCGGGAGCGAGGATGCATGGCAGGACACAGCGGCCAGGGAGCGAGGATGCATGGCAGGACACAGCGGCCCCGGAGCGAGGATGCATGGCAGGACACAGCGGCCCCGGAGCGAGGATGCATGGCAGGACACAGCGGCCCAGGGAGCGAGGATGATGCATGGCAGGATGCACAGCGGCCCCAGCGGCCCGGGAGCGAGGATGCATGGCAGGACACAGCGGCCCGGGAGCGAGGATGCATGACAGGACACAGCGGCCCGGGAGCGAGGATGCATGGCAGGACACAGCGGCCCGGGAGCGAGGATGCATGGCAGGACACAGCGGCCCGGGAGCGAGGATGCATGGCAGGACACAGCGGCTCCGGGAGCGAGGATGCATGGCAGGACACAGCGGCCCGGGAGCAAGGATGCATGGCAGGACAGAGCAGGACACAGCTTTCCAACGCAGAATACATCCCAATGACATCACTTCCTCTGATGGGCGAGGAATCGAGAAATGGTCCGAAATCATGGAATGGTTATATCTGTCCCTCATTATACTACACACACTCCAAGCTGCCTCCTGCACCTCATTATACTACTACACACACTCCAAGCTGCCTCCTGCACCTCATTATACTACACACACTCCAAGCTGCCTCCTGCACCTCATTCTACTACACACACTCCAAGCTGCCTCCTGCACCTCATTCTACTATACACACACTCCAAGCTGCCATCTCACCTGACGTCCACTTTGAGCTTGGGATAATACTGAGAGACGTATTTCTTGATGAGGCTGTAGGACGCTTCCTTGGGCTCACACAGCCGGGTGAATGCCAGAGGTAAGATGTCCTCCAGCTTGACGTTGGTCTGATCTCCTCCTGCAGATCCGCTTCTCTGTAGGAGGAAGAGAAGAGTTAGACTGATCGATGTGCTGAGGAGGGGCAGGGGCGAGGTTGGTGGGGGGGAGAGGCGGGGTGGGGGCGAGGCAGTGCGGGGGAGAGGCAGTGCGGGGGAGAGGCGGGCGCCTCTTGTCACAAACCTTCTTGTCTCTGGATTTCGGTGCCGACTTTCCAGAATTCGACACGACAACAAAACTGCCGGACGCTCCTTTCCCTTTCACCTGAAACACAGAGGGCGTCAGAGGAGGTCACGGAGGGTGTCAGAGGAGGTCACAGAGGGTTTTCAGAGGAGGTCACAGAGGGGTCAGAGGAGGTCACAGAGGGCGGTCAGAGGAGGTCACAGAGGGCGGTCAGAGGAGGTCACAGAGGGCGGTCAGAGGAGGTCACAGAGGGCGGTCAGAGGCAGGAGGTCACAGGAGGGCGGTCAGAGGCAGGAGGTCACAGAGGGCGGTCAGAGGAGGTCACAGAGGGCGGTCAGAGGAGGTCACAGAGGGCGGTCAGAGGAGGTCACAGAGGGCGGTCAGAGGAGGTCACAGAGGGCGGTCAGAGGAGGTCACAGAGGGCTGTCAGAGGAGGTCACAGAGGGCTGTCAGAGGCGGCCGGTCACGGAGGGCGTCACAGCCGGGCCGGTCACGGAGGGCGTCACGGCCGGTCAAGGAGGGTGTCGGAGCCGGCCGGTCACGGAGGGCGTCAGAGGCGAGCCGGCCGGTCACACGGAGGGCGTCAGAGCCGGCCGGTCACGGAGGGCGTCAGAGCCGGCCGGTCACGGAGGGGGCGTCAGAGCCGGCCGGTCACGGAGGGCGTCAGAGCCGGCCGGTCACGGAGGGCGTCAGAGCCGGCCGGTCACGGAGGGCGTCAGAGAGCCGGCCGGTCACGGAGGGCGTCAGAGCCGGCCGGTCACGGAGGGCGTCAGAGCCGGCCGGTCACGGAGGGCGTCACGGCCGGTCACGGAGGGCGTCACGGAGGGCGTCACGGCCGGTCACGGAGGGCGTCACGGCCGGTCACGGAGGGCGTCACGGCCGGTCACGGAGGGCGTCACGGCCGGTCACGGAGGGCGTCACGGCCGGTCACGGAGGGCGTCACGGCCGGTCACGGAGGGCGTCACGGCCGGTCACGGAGGGCGTCACGGCCGGTCACGGAGGAGGGCGTCAGAGCCGGCCGGTCACGGAGGGCGTCAGAGCCGGTGTCACAGAAGGTGTGGAAGGAGACAAAACACATAGCAGGTCCTGAATCCACAGAGGAAGACATGGGGGTCCTACCTGGCGGATGGCCCCTCTCTGCAGCTCCCGTTTCAGGGCTTGTTTCAGCAGGAAGCCCCTCCTCTCCAGCTCCAACGACGGGTACTTGTTGATGATGTATTTGCGGATGGCGACCACGGAGGCCCCAGACTTCTGGAAACACGCCTGCAGGAGGAGAACAGCGAGAGCCGCTGACCACACTGTATGCTGACAGCCGATGCCTGGTGGGAGGCTGCCCTCTATGGGTGAGTGCAGGGAACTGCACCTGTACTGAACCAATCCAAAGAGCTGCACACAGGCAACTTTATTCATCCAGACATGAACAAAACAGTCCCCACCCGGAACCTCCCCCTCCCCCCCCGCAGACAGGAAACTGTCAATGTTTGTCCGTATAAAGTTCCCAGCGTTTGAATTCCTCAGTGTGCAGTGCACCCCCCCCCCCCCATATCGGTCCTTTGCTTCGGATTCTTGCAGAATGTGAAGCACAGGAGGGGCCCCGGTTTGTCATTCATCACCTGATCTTCCATGAAGGGGACCCGATTCCGGGCTCAGGAGCAGTGCACCCCCCCCCCCCCCCCCCATATGAAGGGGACCCGATTCCGGGCTCAGGAGCAGTGCACACCCCCCCCGATTCCGGGCTATGAAGGGGACACAATTCCGAGCTCAGGAGCCGTGCACCCCCCATATGAAGGGGACACAGGCGGACGTGATGGACCGCTCGGTCTTTTTCTGCCAGCCCGTGTCATGTCTCTGCATACAATGTGGATCTCAATGATGGGGACGTGTCCAGGAGATCCCGCCATAGATCTGCTCCGGGTCCCCGTCTGTTTAATCGATAAACCGGAGAAGATCCATCGATTTCACACAACTTCTAGTGGAATAACCCAGAAAGAGTTCAGGTCTCTCTGACCTACAGGCATGGGACGGAACCCGACACGGGGGGGACGGAACCCGACACGGGGGGACGGAACCCGACATGGGGGGACGGAACAGGGGACAGAATTCAACACGGGGGGACAGAACCCAACATGGGGAGGACGGAACAGGGGACAAAACTCGACTCAGGGATGGAACAGGGGACAGAACTCGACTCGGGGGACGGAACTCAACGACACGGGGGACAGGAACCTGATGGGGACAGAACAGTGGACGGAACTCGACATGGATAGAACAAGATGGAACTCAACATGGGGGACAGAACCCAACACGGGGAGTGGGGGACGGAACCCGACGTGGGGAGTGGGGGACGGAACCCGACGTGGGGAGTGGGGGACGGAACCCGACGTGGGGAGTGGGGGACGGAACCCGACGTGGGGGGGTGGGGGACGAAACCCGACGGGGGAGTGGGGGACGAAACCCGACACGGGGGGGGGGGGGGGGGGGGGACGAACCCCACGCGGGGATGGAATGGGGGACAGAACCCGACACGGGGGGGTGGGGGGGACGAAACCCAACGCGGTGGATGGAATGGGGGACAGAACCCGACGCGGGGGGTGGGGGATGGAACCCAACATGGAGGGACAGAACCCGACACGGTTCCTCAGAGGACAGCACTGCAGCCGTACGGTGTGCCCGCAGCTCAGCTTGGACCCAGAATCATTCATGACTTTACCAGGAAGAACCCGGAACCCACCTTTATGGCCTCGGTCAGAATGGCGTCCATCTTGGGGCGGGATCCGGACGAGGCGTGGGACTGTTTCTGTGCCCGGGCCCGCTGGCTGGCAGACAGAGTGGCCCACGATGGAATGGTCTTCTTCACCTTCTTCTCCTTCTCTTTGGACTGTTCCTTCTCCCCACTGCAAGACAACCGAGACATACAGGACGGGGGGGTCAGCCCAGAAACATACATGGGGACCCCCAGCCCCCCCTCACTGCTCCCCGGACCGTCCCTTCTCTGCCCCCCCCCATACAGTGAAGGGCCCGGTGTTCCCCCAGATGGGTCTCCTTACTCCTTCTTGGCCTCCTCTGTTACTTGGCCCTCCGTCTTCTTCTCCTCGTCAGTCTCCGCCTCCTTTGGTTGCTCCGTCTCACTGGAAGTGGCTGGAGGAGTCTCAGTCTCCTGCTCCTCCCCGGTGGAAGCAGACTCTTCTGAGCTGGCGTCAGGCTCTGCCACAGAACAGGACAGACCGTCATACACGGGACCGTCATACACACGGGACACGTCATACGGCACACACGGGACACGTCATACACGGGACACGTCATACGTCACACACGGGACACGTCATACACGGGACACGTCACACACACACGGGACACGTGTCACACACGGGACATCTTACGTCACACACGGGACACTTACGTCACACACGGGACACGTCTTACGTCACACACGGGACACGTCTTACGTCACACACGGGACACGTCTTACGTCACACACGGGACACGTCATACACGGCACACACCATACGTCACACACGGGACACATCATACGTCACACACAGGACACGTCATACACGGGACACATCATACGTCACACACAGGACACGTCATACACGGGACAACGTCACACACAGGACACGTCATACACGGGACACATCATACGTCACACCCACAGGACAAGTCATTCGTCACACACAGGATACGTCATACACAGGACATATCATATGTCACACACGGGACACATCATACACGGGACACGTCATATGTCATACACGGGGACACGTCACACACGGGACACATCATACATCACACACAGGACACATCATACACGGGACACATACACGGGACACGTCATACATCATACACGGGACACGTTATACACAGGACACATCAAACACGGGACACATACGTCACACACAGTCACACATCATACACAGGGGACACATCATACGTCACACACAGGACACATCATACACGGGACACGTCATACACAGGACACATCAAACACGGGACATGTCATACGTCACACACAGGACACATCATACGTCACACACAGGACACGTCATACATCACATGTCATACATCACACACAGGACACATCATACATGGGACACGTCACACACGGGACACGTCATACATCACACACAGGACACATCATGCACGGGACCCAACATATACCAGACACATCATACAATGGAGCCATCATATACGAGACGTAATACACGGGACACAACATACACCTAACATGCTACACCTTTACAGACACAACTATGAGAACGGCCATTGACCCCCCCAGTCACTGCACCCATCAGTCTGATAACACGGCCTTCACATGTACAAAAACTATAAAATGGAGCTCGGCACAGATCACACACACGATAGCTCGGCACAGATCACACACACGCGGCGGAGCTCGGCACAGATCACACACACGCGACGGACTCGGCTCGGCACAGATCACACACACGCGGCAAAAACTCGGCACAGATCACACACACGCGAGGAGCTCGGCACACATCACACACACGCGACGGAGCTCGGCACAGATCACACACACGCGACGGAGCTCGGCACAGATCACACACACACGACGGAGCTCGGCACAGATCACACACACGACGCGACGGAGCTCGGCACACATCAAACACACGCGACGGAGCACGGCACACATCACACACACATCGCGACGGAGCTCGGCAACACATCACACACACACGACGGAGCTCGGCACACATCACACACACATGACGGAGCTCGGCACAGATCACACACACATGACGGAGCTCGGCACAGATCACACACACATGACGGAGCTCGGCACAGATCACACACACATGAAGGAGCTCGGCACAGATCACACACACATGACGGAGCTCAGCACAGATCACACACACATGACGGAGCTCAGCACAGATCACACACACATGACGGAGCTCAGCACAAATCACACACACATGACAGAGCTCAGCACAGATCACACACACACATGACGGCACGGTACAGATCACACACATGACAGAGCTCAGCACAGATCACACATACATGACAGAGCTTGGTACAGATCACACACATGACGGCATGGCACAGATCACACACACATGACGGAGCTCAGCACAGATCACACACACACGACAGAGCTCAGCACAGATCACACACACACACATGACGGCACGGTACAGATCACACACATGACAGAGCTCAGCACAGATCACACATACATGACAGAGCTTGGTACAGATCACACACATGACGGCATGGCACAGATCACACACACATGACGGCACGGTACAGATCACACACATGACGGCACGGTACAGATCACACACATGACGGCACGGTACAGATCACACACACGACGGCACGGTACAGATCACACACATGATGGCACGGTACAGATCACACATGACGGGGCCCCGGAGGGGAGATCCGTGTGGCCCTCACCTGCTTTCTTGTCCTCGCTCTCGGCAGGCCGGTTCTTCGGGGCGGTCTCCTGGGAATTGACGGCACGACGGATCGGCATGGTGAAATCGGATGAACCTTCAGGGGAAAGAGAAGAGTGAGTGAGCCGTCCTGGGGCCCCGTCCGCTGGGGCCCCTACAAACCTGAACCCCGGTGCTGCTTCCTCCATTATAATACACATTGGGGGCCTGTGTGCAAAGCTGCTGCTGGAAGCTCTGTATGCCTCAAGTATATCCAGACCAAAGAAGCCGCGTGTGTCATACAGATCCCCCGTCCCTCCATGTGGGGGCGCTCCTGTCACCCAGAAACTCACTTCCTGTCCTGGGGGGCCAACACTCACTGCACCGTGTCTATGGAGGGGCCCCTAGGGGACTGTACAGAGGTGTGGACGGGGCCCTGGGGGCCCCTGGAGGACTGTACAGAGGTGTGGAGGGGCCCCTAGAGGACTGTACAGAGGTGTGGAGGGGCCCCTGGAGGACTGTACAGAGGTGTGGAGGGGCCCCTGGAGGACTGTACAGAGGTGTGGAGGGGCCCCTGGAGGACTGTACAGAGGTGTGGAGGGGCCCCTGGAGGACTGTACAGAGGTGTGGAGGGGCCCCTGGAGGACTGTACAGAGGTGTGGAGGGGCCCCTGGAGGACTGTACAGAGGTGTGGAGGGGCCCCTAGAGGACTGTACAGAGGTGTGGAGGGGCCCCTGGAGGACTGTACAGAGGTGTGGAGGGGCCCCTGGAGGAGGACTGTACAGAGGTGTGGAGGGGCCCCTGGAGGACTGTACAGAGGTGTGGAGGGGCCCCTGGAGGACTGTACAGAGGTGTGGAGGGGCCCCTGGAGGACTGTACAGAGGTGTGGAGGGGCCCCTAGGGGACTGTACAGAGGTGTGAAGGGGCCCCTAGGGGACTGTACAGAAGTGTGAAGGGGCCCCTTGGAGGTCTGTACAGAGGTTTCCATGGCCGAGCAGCTGCATCCAAGCCTTCCATCACCAAGTGCAACGCAAAGCGTCGGATGCCGTGGTGTAAAGCACGCCGCCACTGGACTCTACAGCAGGGGAGGGAGGCGTGTTCTCTGGAGGGACCAATCACACTTCTCTGTCTGGCAATCCGATGGACATGTCTGGGTTTGGTGGTGGCCAGGAGAACGGTACTTGCCTGACTGCATTGTGCCAAGTGTAAAGCTTGGTGGAGGGGGATTATGGGGTGGGGGTGTTCCTCAGGAGTTGGCCCCCTAGTTCCAGTGAAGGGAACTCTTTGTACAGAGGTGTGGAAGGCGACATTTTGGACAATTTCATGCCCCCAACTTTGTGGGAGGAGTTTGGAGATGGCCCCTTCCTGTTCCAACATGACTGCCCACCAGTCTCCCATACTGATCCCCCAGCTTCCTCTGTATATAGGATGGGTTTACACTGCCAGAGGATAGGAGGGAGGGGCTCCCATACTGATCCCCTGGCTTCCTCTGTATATAGGATGGGTTTACACTGCCAGAGGATTGGGGGGGGGCTCCCATACTGATCCCCTGGCTTCCTCTGTATATAGGATGGGTGCACACTGACAGAGGAGGGGGGAGGGGGGAGGGCTCCCAAACTGATCCCCCGGCTTCCTCTGTATATAGGATGGGTGCACACTGACAGGATGGGGGGAGGGGCTCCCATACTGATCCCCCGGCTTCCTCTGTATATATGGGGATGGGTGCACACTGACAGGATGGGGGGAGGGGCTCCCATACTGATTCCCCGGCTTCCTCTGTATATAGGATGTGTGCACAATTTGACAGAGGATTGGGGGGGGCTCCCATACTGATCCCCCCATACTGATCCCCCGGCTTCCTCTGTATATAGGATGGGTGCACACTGACAGAGGATGGGGGGGAGGGCTCCCATACTGATCCCCCGGCTTCCTCTGTATATAGGATGGGTGCACACTGACAGGATGGGGGGGGAGGGGCTCCCATACTGATCCCCCGGCTTCCTCTGTATATAGGATGGGTGCACACTGACAGAGGAGGGGGGGGGGCTCCCATACTGATCCCCCAGCTTCCTCTGTATATAGGATGGGTGCACACTGACAGAATGGGGGGAGAGGCTCCCATACTGATCCCCCAGCTTCTTCTGTATATAGGATGGGTGCACACTGACAGAGGATGGGGGGGGCTCCCATACTGATCCCCCGGCTTCCTCTCTATATTAGGCCAGTCAGGTGACTCCTCCCACCTTCTATCACTGACATGGACCAATCAGGCAGTCTGAGGATCAGCATGGACAACCAATCAGGAGACTGTGTCTGTTGAGGTCCGAGGCAGAACCAACCAGGCGCCCCTCACCGGTTGCCATGGGCAACAGCTCTGCATTCCGCCCCCAGCCAATCGGCGCGCAGTGGGCGGAGTTCCCGGGCAACACAAAACAAAGAGGCAACATTCAGGGGGCGTGGCCTATCTCGGCCAATCAGCAGCCGGAGCATCTCTTGAATGGCGAGGGAAGGAGGGCGGGGCCTGCACGGAGGGAAGGGGGGGGTTGGGGGGGACCACAATAACAGAGCGGGCTCCGGGGCCCTACAATGGAGGGGCCCTTCCCGGGGGCAGCCCAGACCTCCTTCCCCTCTCCCCCACACACCGCTCCCGCCATCCGTCCATCCTCATCCCCGGAGAAAATGGCGGCAACAGCCCCTCCCCCACCGCCGTGTCCGCCCGCCGACCCCCGAGCGTGATAGGGAGGAGGGGAGTGTGTAAGGGGCCCGGACCGGGCTGGGGCGGTGTGAGGGGGGCCCGGGGCCCCCCGCCATGGCGCTCACCTCTCCCTCCGCAGCTCCAACACCGTCCAGCGCGATCCCGACTGGTAGACACGCCCCCTACACGGGCACGGGCCCGGCTACGTCCGCCACGTCGTCTCCACGGCAACCGAGGGAGGGGCGGGGAGAATGACGAGGAGGCGGGTCTGACTGACCCAGCGTGGCTTGCAATGTGCGCATGCGTGTGTGTGTGTACTCCGCCACCGCTCTATGTCACCCCCGCGATTCTAATTGTCCTCCCTCAGTATATAGCGGACATCCAATAATAATCATTATATATATATATATACGTGTGTGTGTGTGTATATGGGGGGGGGGGGGCAGCTGTGCATGGCAGCCAATCAGCTTCTGTTTTTCATTGGCAGAGCTGAATCAACTGAAGATAGAAGCTGATTGGTTGCTCTGCAGGCCTCGGTAATTGCCATTGGATGCCCTCCGGAAGGTTCCCCCCCTTTCCTGACCAGGCCATATTCTGCTATTCAGCACTGCGCTGCTTTCCCTGGTAATTATACGGTCATGCAGCACCCAACCGCCATTGATATCATCGTTCTCCCACAAACAGAGCGTCCGATTTTTTATTATATAAATGAAAAAAGACCAGAATTTAAAAAAAAAAAAAAAAAAAACATTTTGCTATTAAACATTTCCAATAAAAACAAAATCATTTTTTTTTTTTGTAATTTTTGGCCACAATATATTCTGCTGCGTCTCTGGTGTGTTCTGGGATCTACAACCTACGGCCGATATACCGGAATTGTGTCATGCTGGTGGCAATGCCGGACTGCGATAGTGCGGCGGCAATCTGACACTCACTGACACCATCAGTGACACTAATACAGGGATATCCATGTACTGATGACACCGACGGGGAGATCAGAGTGAATGCCGTGCTGATGGTCCTGAAGGAAGTGCCGGATCCTGTGCCCAGGACAGAGCTCTGTCCCGTCATCTGCACATCAATCATTGGTTGGAACCCACGGATCGGCTTGTGCTGTAACTAATCACAGCTCAGCCAGGGGGCGGCAGGCACCCCCCAACCCCCCATGTGGAAGAGCCATCACCTATCAGATACGCTACCCAGCGCAGAGGCCGCCGTACGTCTAAGTGAGGCGATCGAACAAGCAGTTGTTCTGAATGCCAATCAAATCCGGTCACTGAATAAAATGGTTCCCCTGCCCTCCTGTTCACACGTTGCATTTGCTTCGCTTCAAAAATGATCCGCCGTGTCGCTGTCTGGGTGCTTCAAATCCTCCATAGAAGTCTGACAACTCTCTCAGCAGCTGCAGCTTGGCTTTGTGTCGGAGGTATTGCAGGGATGAGATATCCCAGGATGCACTGGGAAACCAACAAGAAAACCAGCAAGGTGACATCAGCATTCCCTTCCGGGGTCATGTGTATATATTCCAGGGGTGTCTGCTGCAGACGTCACATCTGGTGCACAGCGAGGAGCAGCGGGAAGGTGAGCGAGGTCCAGACTGGAGCACTCATGGTGTGCAACATGGGAACCAGAGCAAGGACTAAGCAGCAGAGGATCAGAGGAGCTGGGGGACCGGAGCAAGAGAAGCTATCAACGTTACACCTGGGGCACAGAGTGGGAGCGATATAGCTGGAGGTGAGCGGGGACCAGAGCGAGGGAAAGATCAGCAGAGCCACGGGTTACTACTGAGCAAGGGATCAGCAGAGGCGGAGGCTACTACTGAGCGGGGGATTGGCGGAGATGGGGGGGTACTACTGAGCGGGGGGGATTGGCAGAGATGGGGGCTACTACTGAGCGGGGGATCGGCGGAGCCGGGGGCCACTACTGAGCGGGGGGATCGGCGGAGCCGGGGGGGGGTCACTAATGAGCGGGAGGATCGGCGGAGCGGAGGCCACTACTGAGCAAGGGATCAGCAGAGCCGGGGGCTACTACTGAGGCGGGGGGATCGGCGGAGCGGAGGCCCACTACTGAGCAAGGGATCAGCAGAGCCGGGGGGTACTACTGAGCAGGGGATCAGCAGAGCAGGTGTTACTACTGAATGGGGGATCAATAGAGCTGGGGGCTACTACTGAACGGGGGGATCAGCAGAGCCGGGTGTTACTACTGAACGGGGGGATCAGCAGAGCCGGGGGTTACTACTGAGCGGGGGATCAGCAGAGCCGGGGGTTACTACTGAGCGGGGGATCAGCAGAGCCGGGGGTTACTACTGAGCGGGGGATCAGCAGAGCCGGGGGTTACTACTGAGCGGGGGATCGGCAGAGCCGGGGGCTACTACTGAGCGGGGGGATCGGCGGAGCGGAGGCCACT